TCTGTTGGCTGTGGGATGTTTTCTGCAGCTCTCCTTTGAAGAGCAGAATTGAGGCTGCAGCCTGGGAATGGTTAGGTGGTTGGGAGCAAGGTTTGTTTTGGGGGTGGGGAAAGACATTGTCCTGTTTGGCAGAATTGGTTTGTTGAGGATGAGGAATAAGGATACATACAAACAGGATCTGGGAAACCCAAGAGCTTGAAGGACAGGGTCAGAGAGCTGGAAGAGAGCGTGAAACTGGTGATGGGAGAGTTGTAGAGACAGAGGAGGCAACATCAGGTCTGGGTCTTGGGAAAAGAAGCAGGGAGCAGAAGGGTTGGGGATTGGGAACAAGGCAAGGCAGGAGGTGGCAAGGAGGCTCAGGGTGACAGGCAGAGAATGAGAAAGCACTGGGAGCATGGTGACAGAAGGGATCACACACAAGTTTGCTGGAGGAGGCTGGTGCTGCCTCCAAGCCAGAGGTACCTCTTCTCACTGTAGCCACACACATGTCCCAGCCACTTACATTAGAAATCCAACTGGTGCCAATAAAAAGCCATTTATGCCAAAGCCTCCATCTGACAGCTCCACTGCCTGGCTGAAGCCTTGCACCTGCCCCACTACCAGGGCTGCAGCAGTCTTGCTGCTGCTCCCCCTCTGCTGTGACCCAAAAGCAGGGTCCTTTTCTGCTTCTCCTCTCCTCCCTCGAGGTGAGCTGGAAAGAAGGTGGCAGTCACTGCTCTGGGCCCTTTGGGAGCAGGAATGGCTGAACTAGTTGGAACTAATTGAAAACACAGAAAGAGCAGCAGGATTTACTGTCCAGTCATCTAATCCTGCCACTTCGGACTGACCCACTTCAAAGTCACAGTGTGTGACAGAATGACCAAGCAATGAGGACAGGATTACAGAGCCCCAAATGAGATTATGTTCCTTGGTGGGGACACAAGCTGCTGGGGGCAGGGAAGAGGTCTGTGTTGAGCACTTAGCAGGAGTAATAAGACCAGATATCCAATGCTCTATCTGCTTAGAGAGCATCAAAAATAGACTCTCTGGAGAGAGAGAACACTCAAGTGAGTCGGCTGGGCAGACTCCGGGTACTTGGGACACTGACAGCTCCTCAGCCCGTAAAATGAATTGGCACAGGTTTGTGCCAGTGTTAGCACAACTGTGGCTTCAAAACAAAACAGAGCAGGGGAAGGGAACAGGAGAAAGGGTAAGGGAGACAAGACTGCACTTGGCTAACTAAAACTGTAGGCTATTTAAGATAGAAAGGGGAAAGGGCCAGGGGATCAGAGATAAGGAAAGCACAGCTTGCAGCATTTTAGCCTGTGGTAAATACATTAAGTAGCAGCCTGTCACATACAAACAGTAATCAGAGAGCTAGCTGCATTGTGCTGCACAGGGATAAAAAGGTGGGCCTTGCCCAAAGATTTTATCACCAGAGACAAAAGATCATGATGGTTCCTGTGGAAGCACAAGAAGATCAGTTACCATGTTCAGAGAGGAGAGGACAGGGCTATGCACAGTGGCAGACATGTCTCCAAGAACAGGAGCCTTCAGATTTAACCTAATTTACTGAAAACAGGTCTGTAAAGAGTACACTTTCAGCCCAACATTTCACTGTGTATTTGCCACCAGAAGATGCTGACTTGCAAAGTCTGAGGGTCCATTTCTTAATACAAAAGCATCTTTTCCCACCCATTACTCCAAGTGATGCAGGAAATAAGACAGATCCTCACATTCACTTTCTGGTAAAAGCCATGTTTTCCATGGGAGCTGCAGAAGCTCAGTGCTTCTCAATATATGGTCATCTCTATAGGTTCTGATTTTAACACAATCCATTAAAGGCTGAAACCCAATGACCCTGTTCAGGGCTCAGTTTCCCATCTACACTCATCACAGGCTAGTTGGATAGCCTTAAAATTTGGCATTGGGAAAGCCAAGATAAGCCTTAGAAATAGTATTCTCTTTCCTCCCTCCCTGGAAACTTCCCCCTAAGGACAGCACAGCAGTCTTGTCTGGCATCTGTCAGCTCAAAGTGTTTTCCAGATAATTAGTCATTTAAACTTCTTTCATGCAGGATAATCTAGCTCTCTTCTACCCCCTTTCTCAATTGAGCAAGTAAGGGCGTTGCCATACATTTAACAGCAGCTGAAAATCAGGGCAACAGGAGCTGTTACCACCTGTACCTGCTTGTATCACTCCTCTCCTGGAAACAGCTCCCTTCACAGCAGCAGGGACAGCTAAATGGAGACACATTCACACCCGACCCATCACACCCTGAATACCTGAGGAAACCCAGCTCAGCACTTCGGTACTGCCACACATCAGGCTGTATATCAGCCATTCAGCTCTTCCTGCCCAAAAGACAACAAAACCACTCTGAGAAGGGCAAGGCACAGAAGCTGCTTTAACCATTCCTGACTATTACACCATGAAGAGTGTAAATGTATTAAGGGTGTGGTTCCATGAGCAGCAGAACTAATCTGTCTGCTTCCCATGACCAGGAAGGGAAGATCTTTCTTTCCTCTGACCATACTCTTCCCTTCTGTCTCTTCCCTTGTGCTGGCTCAGGCACTCATCAGATATATTTGTGAGCTTGAAAACAGTATTCTCCTTCTGGATTAACTTTCTGAGGCCCAAAGAGCTGGTGCACAGTAACCCACTAGGAGCAGGAGTGTTACTACATTTTGGAGGAGGAGAGATGTCAGATCAGCTCACCCTGTCTCTTGGATCTGCCCCCTGAGGGACACAGAAGCAAGTGACTTGCTGGAGGCCACATGTGAAATGGTGAAGGAAGCCAGGAGTCCTACTTTTCCTCACATATTCAGAGTAATTTAAATGTCAAGGCTGAAACAAAGACATGAACAGTCCTTACCTTGTCTACAAAAATCAGTCAATCAATCCAGTAACAACCTCTCTACCTTATGAACAGATAATTTTCCACCTCCCCAAAGTACTGTGCAGGAAAGACCCTTCTGGTCCATCTGCAGGTTGCAATATCTTAACTGTTTTCTCTCAAGTTAGGCTGGCAGATGTGCCATACAATAATAGGCACAGACTTGCTTTCTTCCAGCACTGAATGGGGAGCTTCATTAACTCATGCAAAACAATGACTTCATTGTATCCTGGAGACTCTTCTTCCTTCTACCCAGCTTCCCATTGCCACTGGAGCACTTTTCAAGGCAGCGAGATTAAGAAAGACACCAGAAAAGCAGAACAGTGGGAAAAAAAACCGTGATGCTGACTGTTCATTCAGGTCAAAGAGCTGATGAAGACACTGTTGCAGCCCTGAGATGAACAGGTTGGCACTGCGGGTCCCAGCTACTGTTGAGCTTATCATATTCAGGAGTTATCCAAACAGAAGCCAGAGTTCCTTCAGGATTCACACATAGTTTCTCACTCTGTCCTAAAAACAGCCCTAGAACAGAAAGTCTGTAGCACCTTGTAGGAAGGGGCTCAGAGCAAAGGTAGTGCTGCAAAACAGGCATTCCCAGAGCCTATTTATGTCCATGGTGTGACTTCTTCAGGCTTACATAGCAGCAGCAAAAGTGTTAAATGTCATAGAGGCATCACACAAATGTTGTTTATTGGGCATGTTGTACACAGCTTTGCCTTAGCTCCATGTTTATCCCAGTTTTCAGTCCAGGTTTTGAATTAGCTAGCAGTTCCTGGGTTAGCAGAGTGCCCCCAGCAAAGAGCAATCGTTCAGGAGAAAAACCGGACCAGGACTGAGAGCCACAGACCACACAATGCTTGGCAGGGAAAAGGGAGGCAATTTTTGGTTTTAATTTGGAACAGGAAATAGCTTTTGCACATCCTTGTGATCCTGCATGTCCATAGCATGCCCCAGAGGCTCCCTACTTCTATAATACCTTGCATTCAACATGCTCCACAGGCTTAATGGTATCTGGCCTCCTAAGGATGTATTATGTATTTTTACAGAAGGTAAGGCCAAGACATACTAAAATGACATGCCTACAGTCTTATGAAAAGTATCTGACAGAGAAAAATAATTTCCTTCAACTCCTATTCACAAGTTTTTCCCAATACCAGTACACACCTTGCCCATATGTTTCTACTGTCCTTTTGCAAGAGGCGTTGTATCTGACTGCATTAAAGCCATATCTTTTATAAAGTCTTGCCCCCAAAATACAAGGGTATAATCACTGTGTGTATCTACCCTAAACCATGATAATCCATGGCCAGAGAGTGGGACCACAAAATGCAGTTATCAGGTCACTGCAGCAGTTATGCAAGCAAAGAAACAGAGATAACAACTATTTTCTGGTTCTGGCTCCATGCCAGGAACAGGGTACAGGATACACTTCCTCAGATGAGACCACTCATCCAGTATCTACTTGTTCTCCAAAAGAAACTAATACCACTTCCCATTCACTCTTACATAAACATGGCTCCAGAGAATTACACATAACGTATCTGGTGTGTAAGCCTTGCAGACAACCTTTTAGCCTTCAAGAACTTCAGATCTTTCTGTCAGTACCCAAATTATAGGTCACTAGATTCTCCAAACTTCTCAACAATTCAGCACAATTGACAAACTGGGCTGCAGATGGGCTTTTCCTTCACTGCAGAAGGTGCCGACCAGAAAAAAAAAAAAAAGTATTTCTCTGCCAAGGTGTTAACTGTGTTCACCTAACATCAGCATCTTTCATGGAAGCATGCTCATGTTTTGACAGTGAAAATGAAGAGCACAGGTTGTGATGAACAAAACTGCTAAAGCTGTCACCTGGGTACTGAAGGAAAATATGAAGTTCAACAGAGGCCTGAGGCAGACCTTACTCTTAATCCTTCATTTCCAACCACCTATAGGTTTACTAGGCACCACACTTACTGTCTTCATCCCAAGAGGCACCTGTGTGGCTGGTGAATGGGAAATTGGGAGGCATGATCAAAATCAGTGAGAGAATCCCTGTCCTCACCATATCTCCCCCTCCACACTGTGGCTGCTGTTGGTGATGGATGCAGATGAGATGCTAATGAGTCACCATCCTGACCCGCACCTTTACCTTTGAAGCTGCCATGACGGCTGCCGTGGCTGCGACGTTCAGCCCCCGCTTCCCAAAGTGCACAAGGGCATCGTAGCTCCGGTCTTTTGCCTGGACGAGGCAGTCATCGATCTCCTGTCACAGCAGACAACAAAACAAACAAACAAAAAAAAGCACAAGAAGGACAAGTTCAGAGTGCTCCTAACCTCAAAGTGTTGACAGGGACAGGTCATCTTTTATGGAGGCAGACATCCTCCATTTCCTCCACCTTGGCTGGAGAGAAGTTCACAGCCAATGTTTGCAAAGCGAAAGGGTTTGCAGGGGAGCAGTAACTTCCACTGCAGGCTTTGGGAACTCTTTTAAAAATTTTGCAAATGGAAGATTGGGACCCATAGTTGGGATACACATGCACAGTACAACTACCACCAACAGTTCCTGGAAGGAAGACAGACACATCCACGTGGGCAGAATGGACCAGGGTGTGTCAGGAGCCATTTGCAGTCTATGGACTCTAAAGGCCCACTGGATTGCCCCATAGTTAAAAGGAACCATGACACTGGGCAGCTGCAGCTGGTGGTTTCAGAAGTATCTGAGATATATCTGCAAATCACTGCAGTGTCTGGCTTCAATGTGCCCATGGAATTGTTTGGTCCAGAGCTTCTGGACTTCAATGCTGCTCAAAATACAATGAAATGGTTGTGAAAGTTCCTGCCCTCACCCTCCCTTCCTCCGGATATGGATCTGGATGATAATGGATGACCATGACTTTTAGTATTCAGCTACTGGATGTGCTAGGTTAGTAGGGACTGGAGGCTGCAAGAAGCTGCTGGCTGTTCAGTGATTCCCTCCTTATTCCTAGTAGATAAGAGGTGGCAACTGAAAAGGCACAAGCACTACACGTGAGAAGCATAAGTAGAAGTTCCTGGGAAGCAGAGAGACAGCAGACTGATCCTCACTGTCCTTCTTGGACAGGACTGAGGTACAACTATTCATGCACTGCCTCTGGTTAAACAGAGATCTTTCACTTCCATAGTTTCCAGTGTGGAAAACAGTTATTCACTTCTTAGCAGTCTGCATGTCGATATGTGACTGATCGCTCTTCTTGGCCCATGTATCCACGTGAGCCCAATGGATCTGCCTGACAACGTCCCATTCACAGCCACAGGAATCTCCTAGGCAGGCAAATGATCCAAGCTGTAATGTGTGTCCCTCCCAAATTAGCATCATGAATTTAAGCAAGACATTTCTCAATCCAGGACCTCAACATGCTATGCCCCTTACTTTAGCATGCCATATGTCTCTCAGCCAGACAAGTGCTTGCTAAGCCCCTTTCAGACAGGCTTGGCTATTTGTCTCATTGCTGCACAATGTTTTAGGCAGAGCTGGGAACAAAGTTCAGGAGCCCTGGCTGCCAGACCTCATTTCTCTATCTGTTATATCCAGCCACAACATAGCACTCTAGCTATATTAAGCCAGTATGTGCAAAGCAGCTCAGGAGGTATTTCTGTCCCCCTCCCTCCCAACTTCTCAAGTGCCCAAACATGAGTTAATATGTGTGAGCACGCTGAACAGATGCCAGTATTTAAAAACACAACAACCACGAACCAAAACACCAACCAAAAGGAGATGATCAAACGATAGAGGAAGAGAATCAGCAACTCCCAGTCCTTCAATGAAAATGAGTGATACGAAGACTGGAGTAAACACACTGTAGATCTGCTCCACCCAGAGAGGACCCAGGCACTGTGATTACCTTTTCTTTTGAAGACAGTGTTGGATGAACAAATTTCCTGTAAAGGAGGCTGGAGCCTTTTGTGTACGGAGACAGCAGCCAAGCTACAAAAGCTATTTTGAGTTCATAGTAGAATGGAAACCTAGAAGAAAAAGAGCTGTTAATGTCTTCTCCCAATTTAACCACTGCCCTTAATTAGAGATGCTCAGCACAGGAAGGGACTGGCCATCCTAGCTTAGGGCAGCTTTCACTTACCAAAGAATCCAAAGACCTAAACACATTCACTCACCTTTGCACACATCTCAACTAGGCATGTGGGTAAATCTTTACTCAGGTATCAAGGCCATTATTTAATGCTCTGGAAGATGCTCTGCTGTGTGGCAAGAGGAGCTTTCTCCACGCAGAGAGCACAGATGCTGCCTTCATAGCATCCCTACTCATTACGAGGGAGCAAAGAACAAACCAGCAAATGAGTATTTAGTAGATATATTTATGCACCTTTCATCTCTCTGCCTTTCTGCTTTTAAGATAACACTTATCTAACTGAAACTGAAACACAAGAACTTTCGTTGTCCAAGTAACATGCAACATAAAGGTGCAAGATCCACACTGCGGCTTTCAGGTAGCACTGCAAAATATGCAGGACACTAACAGCAGAAGATGCTTTAGCTGTAACAAGAAGCCAGGGACTTCTTGAGATTTTCTGTCCTCCTTTTCTGGAGGACAAACCCCAGAGCTCAAAGCTGGCCAGCTAACAGCATCCTCATATGGCAGACATGTTTCCAGCAGTGTGATGAACCAATGCCACCCTTTGAGTCAGGGACAAGCGAGAGCAGCCCAGAGGTTCTGTGATGGCTGTGCACCAGCTGGACCATACAGCATCCAGATCCAACCTGATGGACCTCTGTGATACTATTCTCCGAGCGTGGATTTGCCAGGTTGGTCTTCCACCTTGCTGAGAATCTCTCCATCATACTCGATTTCACAGGCTGGACAAGCCCTCTGTCATTCCTCCCAAGAGACTCACATAATACATCCTCCAAAAAAACAAAGTTCCAGATGAACTCAGTGGAGGTAGATCTGCATGCAAATTAGTTAAACAATAACATCTTTTATCTCCATTTCAACAGAGCTGACATGTTGCCAAGTACTCTGATTCCCTTTGTCTGGAGAACTCACTAGAGGCACGCAGTACTACGCAGGAACAGGCTTTAGGTGAAGCCTATGTACTACAGTTAAATTTTCATCTTGAAGTCTACTGATCTCACTGGTTTCCACTAGAAAGGCTTTACTAAAAAGGGCAACCAAGCAACAAATATTTCCAAACTTGAGCATCCAAACTTAATCTGATAACAGGGCATTTATCTGCTCTCCTTCTGACAGAGGTCACCAGGGATCCTTTCACTGGATCAGTATGGACGGACTGTCACTATTCTCCATCAAACTGTAAACCCAGCCTGGTAAAACATCCCAAGAACAACCAGCCACACAGCAACCTACAAACAAAGTCCTGTGCTGCAGGGCTGTTTCTGCCTGATCCCTAGAGTGTGTGTATTTACTGTAGGACACAGCTAGGTATGTCTAGAATTATGCCTGCAGCTAAAGTGACTGGCGTTTATGTGATGATCTCTGCAAGCAGCCAACTCGGCAATCAGCTGTGCCTCTCTCTGACAGGCAGGGGACTGAGACTCCTGCTACGATTTTTCACTAATGAGATATCACTGAGCAGTTCCATCCTGTTTCTTGCTTCTCCTATGACAGCACTGAGAAAGGAAGCATGGTTCCTCCAGACAAAACATCTCTATCCACCTGAAGCTGCTAACCCCACGTTCAGGAGGAAGTGCACCCTTGCATTCCTTTCTTCCTCCTTGTAAAAATTTCCATTTTCTTTCCATCTCATGCCCAAGACCCTCTCCCATCTGGTGCTCACCAGCAAAGAAAGATATCCGTGAAGGTCTCTGCTGTTGTGAAGAGTGCGAATATGATCCAGTACATCATCCATTTGACCTGGTAAACAAAAACAGTAGCTGGGTCATTTTCCCCTAAGGGTCTTGAACTATCTCATACAGGCATAAATGCACAGAATAGCTCTCACAGAAAAAAAAGATTCTTTTTTCCCCCCGCTGTGTATTTAACAATTACTTGAAGATGTCAGAACTTCCCCCACCTCAGCACATAACAGACATCAGTTTTCCACACAAGCCCCTGGAAAGGAAGACCGTGGCCTTCAGGATTGGTCTCATGAAAAGAACAGCCTGACTCTGTCCTGCAGAGGAAGCTCCACTGGCCAGCTAAGGACCAGAGCCTTATCACACAGGGAATTAAAAATCTCACTTGGCTCATCTTAATAGCAAAGGTCTATGCTGGGGTGTTGGCCAAATTGCAATTAAGACAAAAAGTAATGACTTACATAATATCTACAGACAGGGGAAACTAGCCAGGAAGAGATAAAGAGGTAGAGCTGCCCATCCCAGGATCCAGGGCTCACAAGCACAATCAACTCACCACAACTTATTGAATTAGCATGCATCAGTTGAGTGACAGTGCCTCCACAGATCCCCACCCTGAGCCCACTGCAGTGACAAGGGCAAGTCCTTTAGCTTAAGCCTCTTACCTAGGGCTTAGGTGAGGGCATTTTACCTCATATTGGTAGTGAAAGCGTGTGCTGTGCTGTCACTGTGTTAAACTATGGCAACTCCACTGTGGGGTGGACTGCTTGGTGGGTGATTTATGGACAGTCTCCTCCATGGTGATAGTGACAGACACAGCAGGAGTCTTTGGGGACAGTGACTTGGTCAAGGAAACTGTAGTATCTCAAGTAATTCAGGAATCTGGGAATTTTTGTTGAGTGAGCACTAAATGGCATTTAAAAGCACAGGTAAACTATTCTGATGTATGCAGTATTGGTTCTTCTTGGGCTGGAAAGGAACAATGTATTTGTCACACACCACTGGGACTACCAGTGATTCTTACCAAGTGACATGGTGCTCCTCTTCTGCAGCATAGATGATACAAGAAATAATTTCCAAGTACGGGAGATGAGAAATAAAACTTTTCTTCCCCCTCAATATTTTTTTTCCATTGTAAAATTGTAAAACAGTTTCAAGAATCTGTCTCTCCAAAGGAAAACAGACAGTAATATAAAAGTTGTTAATTTAACTGAAAATTGCTCTCTAATTAGTTATATTTGAAAATGGAGATCCCTAAGACACTTTGCCAGAATGTTAGAAAGCTTAAGGGAGTAAAATCCATAATTAGAGAATTGGACCATGTTACCTAAGGTTGGGATAACTGCAAGAGAATAAGGGAAGTCTGGGAAGAAGGCAGTACAAGAGGGATTATCTACACCAGGTAGGTGCTGCTCTGGGGAAGGAAGGATGGAGGCTGAAGTAAATCTGGATTTCACCAGCTCTGAAGTGGCTTGTTCCATCTTTTCCCTGATGCAGTGGGGACAGTACCTGCAGTCTCTCTCCATCTCCCTGCAGGTACTGAAATGATTCCCTGAGCACCTGTCACCCAGCTATATAATTGCTCCCCTGGGATCTATCTATATATATATTTACATGTATATTTATATTTAGTGTTACAGCAGTGGAATGGCACTGCCAAATGCCTGAGAGCATTGTCTTCCCTGGGCAGCTTCTGCCAGACTTTTTACATAACTGCAACTCCCTCAAAGCCTCACTGCCAGCATGGTTCTGACAGTTAAGACATTAAGGCCAGCAAAACTTTTAAACACAAACCAAGACCTGGTGTGGATGGGCTTGGATCAATCTAGAACACCAATTATCAAAATTACTATTAACAAGCAAAATAAAAATAAACTATAGTGATATCAAATTTGACCAGTGCCTGAAGGGTTGGTACTGTGTCAGTCTAAATTACTTTTTTTTTTTTTTTAAATCAGACCCCTAATGGGCACATTTGCTACAACTGGTGTGTCAAACTGAAAAACAATTCTAAGTGCAGACCAGGTCTTAGATCAGCTGTTAGCACATTTCGGTCATGACCCCAAGTGTCAGATGCAAGTTCTTATGCAACTGAATTTTCAACAGGAATTGGACCCTTCAACAAAAAATTTTCCAGAAAAGGGTGATGGAAATGTTAAGTATCAGTTGCAGACACTGCTTGGGGATGCTAGGGCATGTCTTCAGCATTTCCAAGTGAAAGGTGTTACAAACCTTCAGAAGCACAGCTGTGCAAGGGCTTCAGGAACATTTTGCCTCAAGTATCTGCTGCATTCTTTAACACTTAGGATTCTCAAAATATCCAAAACCATTATCTGAAGGAGAGGACAGATTGAAAGGAAAAATCTCAGCAGCCAGAGTGAGTCCCAGTTTGAACTTGCACTAGGGACTTAATGGGATAGCCATCTATGCTGCTACCCAGAGGGAAAAATGGGATCTTGAGAGGATTGAAGAGTCAAGATCTGGAGGCTGAGCTGGATTCAGTGAAGTTAACAGAGCTCAGGTTGCAAAGGGCACTACAAATCCTACAGGACCCCAACAGCATCCAAGTGGTTTTGATTCTCCCACATTTCATTTTCCCCGAAGGCCCCATATGCATGTAGAAACTGGGGTCCAGGGAAGATTTTTCAGCAAAAGGACAAGACAGCACATTCAGTTGCCAGACCTGCCTGTAAATAGGTCGCTCCACAAGGAAGGATGTTTCTATCTGAGGATTCAGTCATATGGGCTTTGAGTTGCCTCCTCTGATCCTTGTTTTGAATGAGCAGCTACAGCTTCAAGGCTTTTTGAAAAGGCTTTGATTTATGCTGCTCTTCAGAAACAAAGAAAGGCACACAAAGCTCTGGATGCCAAACACCTTTTAAGCCAACCATATATAGCTCGCACCACTGGAGAAATAGCATACATTTGTCAAAGAGCACATCAACTCTGCAGAGGAGCCAGAAGCACAAACCCAAGTCTCCTTATTTGAGACTTGTGCCTAGCAATCATACAGACCACCTTCAGGCCAGTCTTGCACTGGTTTACGAGCTTTTCCAGAATACAGGCAACACCTTTAAAATGTGGTGAGAAACAATCCCAGAAAACAAAAGCCTTCATCACAGCCACAAACCCCATTACTCACATATTCTTTGATGTCCTTTGATTTCACGGCTTTGTAAGAATAATATGCAGGGTAAAGAGTGCCAAATATAAGCCTGGAAAAAAACCAAACAAACAACAAATGGATTAAATTGATTTCCTGTCACAGAGAAAGATTTCCCTCCCATCATCCTGTCTGTTAAATGTGTTTCTTGCACCAGTAAAAAGTGTTAGGATATAATTTAAACTGGAGTGCACTAAGTACAGTGCAGGAGTGATTTTGCATCACTAAATTCAGAGAAACTATTGCCAGTGACATGAATGAAGAGCAGGGATCCAGGCTGACTTTCTTTTTGCAGTGGTTTTGCAATGGTTTCCATAGCTGTACATTATGAGTTACGCAGAAAACAAAACAAACAAAACAAACAGAACAGGCCACCACACTTTTAAAAGGAAATTAGAAGTCTAATATCAAATAATCTACTGTGGTACCAGGAATATAGCAGTATGGCTTTCAGGGGCAGGACTAAATAAGAATCATTTGTCTAAAATCCCTTCCACCTCTATTCAATACTGTAAAAAGCTGGCAGAGGATAAAGCAGCATCTGAGTTTTACTGGCGCAAGGGTTTGAATGCTGGAGCCTCATCTTACATTGAACCTGCTAAAGGGAAGAGCCCTGCACTGTTTTGTAAAGTCCTTTTGGGCTTATCAAAGGAGGAGGAATTTGCCCACCAAGATATGCCAAGAAGATCAGGCTTAAAATATCCCAGTTCTACTCTTCTTTCAGACCGTTTCCTTGCATTTTCAAGTCTGAAAGGGATACTGTCAGCTTCAAGATTTCAGGTAAGAAAGAAATAAAGATCTGTAAGTTAAAAATAGCACTACTGAGAAAAAAACGTTGAGTGTTTTTTATATTAAATCCTCTCTGCATCACTGCCTAGCTGCTTATTCACTTTGATTATTCTGGACATATGCATAAGCTTGTCAAAACCACTTTTCCCTGCCCAGTTTTCAGTCAGTTTTATTCAATGCAGCAGGATGATGCTGCAAAGTCAGAATTTAATAGATTGCAGAGGAATGTTTATTGCCTTGCAACTACACCTCTTTCCACTGGAGCTTTTGCCTTAAATTCACACAGCTGTTTCTGCTGCTCTTGGGAATGGAAATGATCAATGTTTCAATCCCTAATTGTGGAGCCACATGGACCCACAGTTGTTTTTCCCATCCTGCCAGCAGCGATTGTGCGCCATGGGACTCATAATTACAGTTGAGCCCATTATGCGCATAAAACATTAAAAATTAACATTCTGGGATATGGTGTAGCATTGTACTTCCCGTAGCTCAAGAAGGTATTTGTGAAAGAATGGGGTGAGCCAGCACACATCTTGATTTCCAAAGCAGTGACTGAAGACAATTTGCCAGCTATTCATCACGCTTACTGTAGCATAGCTTAGCAAAACCTGAAGCACAATGCAGACTTCAGAAAAGCAGCCACTGAGTGAGGAGATTCAGTATTATACAGAGGCTTCACACTGGCTTCAAAAAGCTTTGCAAGAACCCGTCAGCTCTGAACCTCTTTCACCTATAGGGGCTGTGCTATATGCAAGCTTTAGATACAAATGTTCAGAAAGATTCTGGAAACAAAATGCATATTTGACCCTTGCAGTATCTTAAAGACAAACTGCAACACCCGTTAAGGCAAGGAAGAACACACAGACAATAGCCTGATCCTGTTCTCACTGAAGCTAACAACAAATATTCCCTCTGAGTACAATGATAGCAGGACCTAATCCAAACAAGTTTGAGCTCACAAAAGGAAGAAAGCTCCACAATATTCAGAAACTAACAGCCGAGCACAGGAATAACATTTTTGGCTCTGCTTATAAAAAGTACCACATTTCTGTCCTTCCTTCTTGGCCCAGGCTGGCTGCTATCTCACGCTTTTATTTCCTGCAAATAACTGAATGATTGATACTTGTTTCCTCAGTTTGTGCTGATAACAGAAAGCAACTGAATCCTGAAGAAGTTTACAGAATCAGTGGAAAATAATTAGTTGCAGACAATAAACACTTGAAAAAAAATCCTGTGAGGGAAGGAAACTCTGTAATGCTTTTGCATATGCAGAGCAAGAGACAGTTAATAAGGTGATGTGCTCTCCCTAAATTGGAGACTGAGAGTTTCACTGATTTGTTTTGTAGCATATTGTGTGCATATATGGACATTTATTACTGCTATGGTTTACCCGACCAAAAACTGTTTTAAGGAATGTTGGCTCCCAGTCTTGTCATTGCTGTAGCTTACTATATGGCTTAGAGTTACTTATCTCCCATTTGTAGGGTGGACCCAGAGGTTAAAAGACACCCAGTCATTTCTGTAAAGCATATTCAGGGTCTTGGAAAGAAACACCTGCACATGGGCATATTCCAGTCATCACTGGGCTCTGGATCAGGCTTGAATACAATTGATGTAATTCAAACATACATGTCAATCTCTTCCCTCAGTCCTTCTCCCCTGCTGAAGACAATACTTCTCTCTTCCCTATCATCCAAGCTTCCTGTGTAATTAAAGTTATTGTTGATTCCTGTCTTCCTTCATCCCCATGCTCAGACTGTCGCCAAATCCCTCCTCCTGCACACTACACACAAAAGCAAGGCTGATTCTTTGTCCCTCTGCCCAAGCCAGTAAGTCGTTCCTTGCCCAAGCCTCCTTTCCAGTCTCCTGTGCTTTACTGATCTCTACCCTGCCTGGATGCAATAGTGTTTAAACCTCTTCCCCCTGCCTCTCACACACACATGCACACAGAGGCTACCAAGCTGAACTAATATTCTTCCATTTGCCTTCCAGTACCTGAAAAATGTTGCTCCTAACTACTGGTGGTTTGGTCTTTTATCACATCTCACCTCAGTCTCTTCTCTCCTTTAATGACTGTAGTGCCACCAGCTTCTTACTCTGCTGTTCCTTGTATATCTTCTCCCACAACCTGGAGCTCCTGTGCTTCTTGCTCCTCTGTTGCATATCACCCCATCACCTCCAAAACAAGCTGTTCCCTGACAGTTATCCTGACAGCCCACAGTTTGAGAGGTAGCAGCCCAAACCACACAAATTCCAACCATGTCACTCACCAGTTCCTCCTCTCCCTCTGCAACACTCCAGTTCTACCTGATGTTCTCTGAACCACACCACAAGACCTTCATGTTCTCTCACACATCCCCAATATTGGAGCAAGACCTCCAGTTCCCTCCTGCAACTGCCACCTGACCCTGACACGTGCTACAACCTACAAGCTACACGTGCTTCCATGGTACATGCATTGACTGCCTGACTGGTGCCTGCCAGCTGGAGAGCCACATTAACCACCTACCTATGGAGTTAACACTGCAGCTTTTACCTCCTGGCAGACACTGCTATGATACAACCTCCTCTCCAGCATATAATTCTTATGAATAATGTCAAAACTTAATATCTGAGACCTCTCTGACCCATCCATCTATTTCAGCCACAATCACTTTGTGGATGCAACTGTTAGCAGCAGTGGAAAAACAGACTGATTAAGCCTTATTTCCTTAGGAAACCAGGCTACAAACACAGCCAACCCACTCCCCACCCATTTCCATCTTTTAAAACTCCTCTGAATGAGCTATGTACCCTGGAAAGCCTTGGCTCTTTTACCCTCCTAGTGCAAAAGCAGAAGTAGACATCCTGATCAGCAAACCTCTCAGAGTTTGATGTAGTAGTTGCCACGTTTAAAGCTACAGAAATGTGTTCCTATAGTCTAGGCTAAAACAAACACATACCCTCAGGGTATAAAGAAGAGCAAGGAAGTAGTGACATTCATCAGTGAATTAGGAAAAGCTCACTTGCAGCACTAAACCAATAATCACAACAGTCTAACAATTCTTACACTGCTCCACGCTGGAAGTCTACATCAATTACAATCGCCTTGAAAAAGGACAAAACAGCAGCTGTAAAGAAATCACTGAAGAGTCAACTAATTGTGCAACAGGAGGCAAAAATCTTAGTAAAAGGTTAGTCTGCCTAAAGAATAGGATAAGGATTAATGCTGAAAATCTTATAATCCTATTAGGCACAGCAGCAACAGCAATCCCCAATCTGGACCGCTACATGAGCTTCTGGTCAGGGACAGGGCAGAGGCAGGAGGGGAAAGGAGAAGGGCAACAAAGTATGTGGAAATGCACCAAGGAAGACTCATAAGAGCAACTGTAAATGCTGTAATTGTTTCTTTTGCAGCAAAGACAAGTAACTGAGGTTATTTGTTCCTACTCCTGATGCACTGTAAGGGGATGTTCAACTGAATCAAGAGAACAAAGTCAAAAAGGAGGAGAGAAACCCTCTCTATCACCACTAGTTAATCTGTGGAACCGAATTTATTCACGTATTTATTTATATAATTACATTACATAAGACGGGTTTGGTTTTGGTTCCATTATTCAAGTTTACTATTAAATGAGACGGAAGAGGACAAAGTTTCCCACAATGTGGAGTTTCCTGATTATCAGGGGAATATTAAAGCAACTGAACTGTTGGTTCCCCCTTAGCAATCTCTGTCATATGCCAGGGAAGCAGCTGCATCATCACCAAACCTCCTTCTGTCTCCACTTGCCAGTACAGCCACAGCCAGCCCTGGGTATTATACCTTTATATTCCTTCTCTGGATTTGCTAGCACAGTGATCCGACCATCCCAGAGCACAGGTTAACCCAGACGTGATAATATTCCTAATAGCATCTAGGTTATAACGTGGGGATCAGCATCAGAGCTACTACCAGGACCTGGGAAGGCCCCACATGACATCCTGAGTTCTGATGATTTGCTGATACTATTTTCCTCATGAGGGGCCTGGACCTACAGCCATTTACCTGTGAAATTAAGTCTCACATTCCATACAGGAGCCGCTGACAAAAACTGAGAGACTCTCAACGATTCTCAAAGAGTACTGGCCAGGGCTCAGCTTACCTCCAGAAATGCCTGCATATCCATTCTCCTGATTATTTTTAACCACATAGGTATTTTCTGGATGGTAACCTATTGTTACAATTATACCAGCACCGTGTCATTCACATCCCAAGTTTTGCTCATCTGGTTACCATGCCACCAG